TTCAAAGAGAAAATCACATTCCTAGAAAGTTCAATTTCCGCCCTTTTATATGACTCCTCAATCAGGGAAAATGAGCCAGGACTAACAAAGTTCTGTTTGTTTAAAGTAATGCTTGCATTTCCATAATTTGATTAAACGAGTTCATTTTCCCTGGCTGCCTGCCGTAGCAACAAACAAAGGTGACAAAAGACTTTACTCCGTTTTTTTGACGATCAGCCATGCACAAAGAAGACGAATGACTTTTAAAAATATGTCAACACTTGAATGTCTGAAATGGTATATAGAGCCAATGTATTGCATTGTGACAGTTTACATTCACCTAAAATCTCAAATTGTAATGGTATGGCTGGGAGAATAAAGGATTCGATCAGATCATTTTCCCCAATTTTTATCATTAATTGGTCTGTTTTACTCAAGCTTTCAGATTACCTTTAATTGTACTTTTAGCATTGAAGTCACTACCTTAGCTCAATTTCCTCTAATCTGAACAACGTTACCTAGTGCCTTTAGTTTTAAATTTTAACCGCGATGTCAGAACAATGTCACGCGGCCCCACGCGCCGTAATTTACCCCCCAAAAAATATAAAAAATGGTGTCCTCTTAACCCCCCCCCCCCGCTTATTCTACCGCCGGCTGAGTCGTTGCGATTTTGTTGGGACAAGAAAAAAAAAAAATGTCCTCTTACCACCCCCCCCCCACCAGTATACAGGTACGCGCGTGTTTTGAATGCGCGTTTGCTAATTTAGGTGGGGGAGCGGGCGAGGGGGGGGGGGGGTACAAGCAAAATCCATTACATTCCCTTTGCCAGGCGCGTAGGCAGGGGAGAGGGGGGGGGGGCGTTAAACCCTCCCCCCTTTGATTTTTTATGTGTGTATATTTGCGAAACCCCACACCCCCCCCCCCTTTGCGCTCTTTGTTTTGCTTTACTTAACAAAAAATAAAAAAATATGCCAATGGCTAACCTAAAAAAGTGACCTTACCCTCCCCCCCCCCCCCCCTACGAAGCAAAAGGTCAAATTTTCAAATTTCGAGACCAAAACAAAATTTAAAAACTAGTGTCCTATTAACCCACCCCCCCCCCCCCCCCAAGCTTATTTAGCGGCTGGCTGAGTCGTTGAGAAATTTTCGGCCCGATTTCAAAATGTTAACCCCCCCCCCCCCTTGAAAAAAATCCTGCGTACGCCACTGCCCTTTGTTATGATACATTCAATCTCATATTATGTTGCTCAACATTGCACATGCAATATCATTTAAGGTCCTCAAATACTATATTGAAATAGCGCCACATTGTGCCCAACTCATTCTACAGTCAAACAGTGAAAAGATGGAACTGATTTGAGTACAGAATTACCCAAATTCCAGGGCATCCTGGAAACCTGGTATTTCAATTCAGTGCATAAATGCGGCAAAGAGGTAATTTTCTTACATGAATGATGTATTTTACGAAATATTGTATGCTAGAGGTGCAAATAAATGGATTAGATTTAAATCTTTGTGCAGCAAGTGTAGATTAAATGACAATGGCTCCAGAGACCATACATTGTACGCTTCCGTTCTTGTATGTCCATACAACGCATAGGTCAAAGCTGAAATAAGGTCAAGTTAAAAGATAACCTGTTTCGTATGCCATAATATTTGAGGATGATGATAAATGTATATGAAATTGTCACGTATAAGAGGTTAATTTATAATAGTTGGCTGGAAATCATGATCTAAATGAATATAAAAGATTCAGGTTTTGTTTTTTGAAGAGTGAAATGGTACGCATGTCCAGGTGAATGGCAAGGACGCAATATATGTAGGTCACCCCAGGTCAAACTGCATGTATAATTTAAGCACATCAAATCACTTTTAAAGGTAAAGACCAGTATTGGAAACGCCCCAATTTCCAAAAATGAAATGAAAGCTCTCATTACCAATCATGTGAAAAAATATGTTTTGACTAATACATGATGATAACAAATTTCCCGGGAAACTGCCTACTAATTCATATATTTGGTAAATTTGTTTCTCTCATGGACTGTGAGAGATATAGGGTAGTCCCATATACATCTTTCTGTGTATAGTGCTTGTAACTTTACGAAGAACGGGCCAAATTTCTTATCATTTTGATGATTCCAGAACCTTGCAGATGCTAGATGATAGATGATCAACCTTTTCTGATCGATTCCACAACGTTTCTTTCACAATGCAATCGCATGACCATAACTGGACTTTACCTTTAAGATATAAAATAGTGTTAATAGCGAATGATATGTTGATTGTGTCAAGCTGTTGAATATTTCATTTGTTAAGATATTTAAAGACAAGAAATGTTACCTAGCTCTCTGAGTCTGGGTTGTAAAAATGTCAATGTCAAGTGTTTACATATCAAATATTCATGCCTTGAGAGGAGAACTCCTGGTTGCAGGCGCGTACGCAAGGGGGGGGGGGGGTGGGTTTTGGGGGTTAACCCCCCCCCCTTCAGTTGTTGTTATGTGTGTATTTTGGAGCATCTCCCCCCCCCACCTCCTTTGTGATTTTTTTTTTGATTAAAAAAAAAATTAAAAAAAATTATGGCAATGGCTTACCTAAATAAAAAAAAGGTGACTCCCCCCCCCCCCAGCGGAGCTAAATGTCAATTTTTCAAATTTCGAAACCCCCTACACCCTAACCCCCGTACAACCCACCCCCACCCCCACCGCCACCCCCTACCCCCACCCCAATGCCCCACCCCCCTCTTTTGTGATTTTATTTTTTATAATTAAAAAAAAAATATGCCAATGGCTGACCTCAAAAAGGTGACTCCCCTCTCCCCCAACGGAGCAAAATGTCAATTTTTCAAATTTTGAGAAACCCCAATCCCCACCCCCATCCCACCCCCCCCCCCCCGCTTATTCAGCGGCTGGCTGACGATTTAAAAATGCGGCTGGCGATTTAAAAATGTTAACCCCCCCCTCCCCCTTGAAAAAATCCTGCGTACGCTACTGCCTGGTTGTACCCATGCTTATTATTAATACTTCAACTAAGTTTATACACTAAGTACAGAAATAGTGTGCTAATGTCTGGATAGATCATAACTGATGCTATTATCCACATATATTTATGATGCTTTCATTTGTGTCTTATTGGTAAGGTTTTCATGGAGTGAAATGAACGGAACAACTGATGGAAGAATAAATTGGCAACACTGCTCCCTTTCAGACCTTTGTCTGATGATTTTTTTCTTCGGTCTCAAATGTATTCTCATCGAAATTGCATGATACAAAAGCTACTCCTAAAAGCAAGCCTGATTATACCACGTTTAAAATTTAAAAAAAATGTCGATCTAGCGATTCCAAACATTCCTACAATCCCTCAGCGTTTGTATTTATGTATCACTTCACGGATTCAGTGCATCAACTGATCATTACAAGCACAGCGAGCAGGATCGTGACAATAACCTCCAAAACACTTATGCTCATACCTTATCTACTGCTTGTTCATATTCCGAATAAATGTTTTCAATTTATTTGGAAATATGTGTTAATCCGTGCTCCATAGAAAGTAATGTAGGCATAAAGCAGGTTTCGTTTTTGTTTGGTATACAATAACATCGGCAGTGTACGCCTAATGAATATAAACTGGTATAGGGCATTGACATAACCTACAAATTAACGTTTAGCTTGGCACCTCAGGTCAAGCACGAAAATGGGGATTCGCGTAGGTAAAACAAAAGGGATTTTGTTTTGACGAAATCGCCACTGACAAAGCAATGGCCTCGTAACTGTGAGGCCCCAGGATCAAAACCGTGTCGATGTGCTATATTAGTGCCCTTTTGTGGGGCATTAATCCTCATTACTGTTCTTTATGACTTAAGGGCGTGGGTCCCGTAGTTGATAAGCATAGTAGAATACACATGCTTTAGCAGTCACGCAAAACATACATTGGCAAATTATTATTCAATAAAATCCGAGAATGTATACTATTATCTAGATCTATAATTTTAAAATTATTTTTAAAATAATTCCATAAATTGGGATAAAATAAAAATATTCCAAATATATGGGCGACAGTGTAGGTCCCCAGGACACTTTCCATGCCTCTCCCGTCAAATTAGGGCAAGTCGGAAAGTATATGAAAACCTTCTACCATGACTATCATACTAACAGTAACAAACATCGTGATTAAAGGTAAGACCAAGTATTGGAAAATTTTGAAAATGGCAGAATAGCGAATAGCGATTCTGCCATGAGGATGTATTATACACTTTAGAGAATTTAGCCCCTATACGATTTCAGCTTTTGAGAAAAATTGAATATCATAATTTTAAAGCTAAATCAATATCTTGACCTTGAGAGGGAGCTCTACAACATGAATAGTTTATTATTTACAATTTCATAACTTTAGACTCGATTTTAACCGCGACGATGATCACTTAATATTGAAGGAGCACACATGCTTCCAATATATAAATTTGAACCAAATTCATGAGCCCATACCAAAACTTTGTATTACCTTCGATCCTGGGGTACTTACCGAGGAGATGCTTCCAGTAAAGGAGAAGTTTTTCATAGCGTGCATCTCTTACGTCTGTTAGGGACATTCTGCCCCGGTGGACTGAATGAATCAATACCACACCATCGTATTGAGAGAAATCGTGTCCATTTTCCAATATTCTACTTGTTATGTGTACGTACTTTACGCATACTCCACACTTTTCTTTCAAAACCGATATGAAGTGCTTATACTCATCGTCTGATCGAGCTAAAGAACAAACTGCAACCGTACATTTTCCAGCCATTATACTTGTAAAATTACGATGTAAAATGAGGCTGCACCACGTCGCTGCTACATGTTATATCCTCATATAGATGTTGGCGGTTTTAGGAAAGGGGCGGGTCAAAGCTAAATTCTTTGTATTCAAATTATGACTTTGTAGGCGTGACCTGCAGCAATTTTGAAAGCATAGCATCATGATTATGCAGTCAGTAATGTGATGTCCGCAATGTCATTAGTTGATGTAACGCTTACAGTATTCACTTCGTCAATAATTCCTATATATAGGGCGTGCTTTATCTAAAGAAAGGTTGGACAAGGAGAAGGAATCTTGTTTCCTCATCATCTCATAATCATGGAAAACACTACATTTTGCTGCATGCTTGTCGGATCTGCTGGCGCTGGGAAGTCTTCCTTTATCAACACGTTGATAAAGTACGTCAATACAACTAAGGAGTCAGGGCAGAAGATGAAAAGCTACATACCGACTGCAAAGTCACAAGTAATGGGTGGACATACCATGACGCGAGAGCCGATCAAATTGACGGACGACCTGATTATAGTAGACAACCGTGGATGGCACGACTGGAACAACGAAGCTGCCTTAAAAGAGCTATCTGCTCAAATTCGTAAGTACATCTTTTCGGATGTTTGATTGGAGGGGTATGAAACATATAACATAGTAAAAGCACTTTAAAACAAAATTAAAGTGTGTTTTACCTTGATACGATCGGTCTCGCAAGGCTGCCACTTAAATAGAAATGACAGGGGTTAAAGGTAAAGACCAGTAATGGTCATGCGATTGCATTGTGAAAGAAACGTTGTGGAATCGATCAGAAAAGGTTGATCATCTAGCATCTAGCATCTGCAAGGTTCTGGAATCATCAAAATGATAAGAAATTTGGCCCATTCTTCGTAAAGTTACAAGCACTATACACAGAAAGATGTATACGGGACTACCCTATATCTCTCACACGACCATGAGAGAAACAAATTTACCAAATATATGAAGTAGTAGGCGGTTTCCCGGCAAATTTGTTATCATCATGTATTAGTCAAAACATATTCTTTCACATGATTGGTAATGAGAGCTTCCATTTCATTTTTTGAAATTGGGGCGTTACCAATACTGGTCTTTACCTTTAATGCACGTGAAAAGTAAAACCTTTGCCTGTACTTGTTTATTGTTATTTTTTTTTTTTAATTTTCCTTCGAATTTGCTCGTATTTAATTGTATTTTCTTTATTTACACGCATAACACATTTAGGTCGGTAGCAGCCTCTCAAGCCCCCCCCCCGTACGCCAGTGGGCAGAGTTAGTAGTAAAACCCCAAAGATATGCAAGCATTTACAAAATCAATACACATTGCGAAAGTATCGCGATGAATTTAATTGTGTGCGTATTATGTAACGTTTTACACTACAAAGTCATGATTAATTTTACCTTGATTTTTTCCTAGATGGCAACAGGTCATTTGACGATGATGTAAAATGGGATGATGATAGCGAGTCAGCTACCGACGACGAATCAGAAACAACACTGGCAATTACTGATAAAGTAGACTGCACCGCGCTCGTCTTAAAGTGAGTGAGATTGTTCTTTTTGTAGACTGTAAGAAAAAATACTCTTTGATAACCAAGGCTCTCATAATAGCAATATCGTTTTTGGGGTGTCAATGATAGACCGTGGGCTGAGCGCGATTTTAGGGCTTAGTTTTCTTTTTTTGGACTGACTTTGTGGTACATAGTTTTTGGTAGCCAGAAATTAGGATAAAAATACACAAAATCCAAATCAGCTTATCCCCGTGACTGAATCCTTGCCGTTCGTATAAAACATAAGTTTAATTGACAAGTTATTTAAGAGAAATTTGCGTGAACGAGACCGCCAACTCTCCATTCGTACACGTGTATAAACTCACCGTGCGACGAGAGTGAAACAGCACATTCTCCGTCTCCATCGTACGATGAAATTGTGTAATCCATTCGAATATTTCCCAAAGCTAATCACATTTGCCGATGTAAATAATATGATTTTGCAAATATGAACTCCAAAAACTATTGAAAACCTCGTCAGGGTGAAAATATTTCGAAAATGGGCGGTCATAGCTACCATGAAACAGACGAGAAATAGCACGTTGCCAATTTGATACTATTGTAAGGATCGTATGCAATTCTCTTGAATGTACGTACTCTGTGTAGAGGTCAGCTGGCTCCGTACCGACAAGACTCGAGTAATTTTTGTGTAATTAAAACTTTAGATGAAAACATTTCTTGTATTAACAATGCAATGGTAGTTTAAGAATAGGCCTACAGAATTAGAGTCCCTAAATATTCATTGTAACTATAACAAAAGATATATGTCTTTTTTTATTTCCAGTCCTGTAGTACTTTTTACATGTTTTCAAATGTTTGATTTTTTGTTGTTGATTTTTTTGATTATTTTTTTCTTTCGGGGGGGGGGGGGGGAGTACTCGCTTAATAATAGGGTATACGGGGATGTGGGTGATTTTTCTTCCTGGAGGAAGAAATGTGACAATGTTTATTCAAATTACACTGCATTCACTGGCTTAAAAATTGATAACAAATACATGCTGAGGTATATATGTGAAGTGTACAGAATGATGATGTATAATGTTATGTCGTCTGGATTTTGAAATCATGTGATGTTATTTTAGTTACAGAATGTTTTCATACATGTTTATTTTACAGACATTTTATTTGTCAGGACTTATACATTTTTGACTAAACAAATGGTGACAAGGTTTTATATCCTTCCCCCCCCCCCTCTTCCTGTCAGATCTGTATACCAGAAGCCGATACTTACAAGAAACACTCAATAATATCGGTTAATAAGTAAAATACACAGATTTTAGAGCATATTTTCTGTTAGTTTTGTTATGTTTTGATGAACTGAATGCCCATCTACATGTATGTGCGAAGAACCATTTACTGGATGAGAATGTGAAATGAAAGATAAATATCGGTATGTGAAGGCTTCCACTTTACCAAAATTAAATGAATATAAAAAAAAAAAAATATATATATATATATATATATATATAAAAGGTTTATGGGGATCCGAGACGGGAATCATGTGCCGCCGGAATGCGTGATTTTTTCACAAAAAATCTTTTGACAAGGGTTAGGGTTTTGTAGGCCTAATTCAGATCGGATATTTTAGCTAATTTTTTCGCTGGAGTATACAAACAAACCTTTTAAATAATGGCCCCTTTCTGCCTAAATGACCATTAAATATAGGTACGGGTCAGTTGTCGGCCTTATACATTTTGTCAGGACTTATACATTTTTTACTAAACAAATGGTGACAAGGTGTCAGTTGTTAGCGACACACCCCAGTCGGAACCAAATGTGAGTACCCCCCCCCCCCCACATGGCATAATTTGTTAACCAAAAATAAAATATTTTATAAAAGAAGAAACCAATGAATTTATTAAAGATGAACATGAATAAATGATTGAAGAAATAAATTGTCACATGTCACCAAAAAACGTTTTAGTTCTACTCATTTTGTTTTTCTTTTTACTTTCCTGAAATGGAATATGGAATATGAATAAACATTGTCACATTTCTTAAAAAAATAAAAAAAGACATATATCTTTTGTTATAGTTACAATGAATATTTAGGGACTCTTATTCTGTAGGCCTATTCTTAAACTACCATTGCATTGCTAATACAAGAAATGTTTTCATCAAAAGTTTTAATTACACAAAAATTACTCGAGTCTTGTCGGTACGGAGCCAGCTGATCTCTACACAGAGTACGTACATTCAAGAGAATTGCATACGATCCTTACAATAATATCAAATTGGCAACGCGCTATTTCTCGTCTGTTTCATGGTAGCTATGGTAGCCCATTTTCGAAATATTTTCACCCTGACGAGGTTTTCAATAGTTTTTTGGAGTTCATATTTGCAAAATCATATTATTTACATCGGCAAATGTGATTAGCTTTGGGAAATATTCGAATGGATTACATAATTTTATCGTACGATGGAGACGGAGAATGTGCTGTTTCACTCTCGTCGCACGGTGAGTTTATACACGTGTACGAACGGAGAGTTGGCGGTCTCGTTCACGCAAATTTCTCTTAAATAACTTGTCAATTAAACTTATGTTTTATACGAACGGCAAGGATTCAGTCGCGGGGATAAGCTGATTTGGGATTTGTGTATTTTTATCTTTTTATTAACACTATTTAAATCTTGTACCGGAATCTATGCAACGGACTGGAAGGAAATTCGCGCTCGGCCCACGGTCTATGAGCATTTCTTCCTACCCGTTAGCACCTCTGTGCAAGTGTGGCTGGCAGTATCCTTTCCCTATGAAAAAGTGCTCCCGTAGGGGATGCTCGTCAGCCCATTTTATTGACAAGGGACGCACTGTATATATATATATATATATATAATGTTCATGGGTATGTGCTAACGCAGCTATTCCAACAAACAATTCGTAAGTCCGGTAAAAACAACAATCCACTGTGTTCACTGGCTCTCATCCGAACAGGCTGCAGGGAGTTCCACATCTGTTCTAAGATATGTTTTAATCACGGGGAAGCTTTGAATTTCAGTAATTTAATTTAGCAAACACTTTCTATATCTTGAAACACTAAGCGACGTTTTACCAGATACCTCCAAATGAAAATATGTACATATTCGCAGACTTGAACCGACTATAAAGAGGACCATTTTCGTCAAGAAAATGAAAGAGGAAATGTTTGGTGCTGGTTTTAGTTATAACCTTGAAATATCCTTATAGATCTTTGCTGCTTTATTTCTTTCTCAGAATTTACATTACGCAATATACTGAGAAACAGTTTTGACATCCACTCTTCTATATCTATATTTTCTTTTATAGCGGAATTGGAGGAATCGATGCAGTTGAAAACATCACTGAGCTCATCGAGACATGCCGCAAAAATACCAGTACGTTGGCCTATATTTACTTGCTATTCATCTTTTCTCTCGAAGCAGCCTTGTCTTTTGCAACTAATTATGGCCTTTGTTAACTGATAGTATTTTTTCTTAACATTGATTATGTAAATATCGTTAGCAACTTTAAAAGACAAAACGCATCTTATATTACTATATACATTTTAAAAGGATATTTCCTGAAGAGAAACACGCAGTAGAACACGTTGCCGATCCCTTTTTCTTTTTCATGACAGAGTTAGGCTTTTAAATCCTGTTAGATTTTTGTCACTTGGCCGTTACTGGGCCAAAAAGTCACATTTGGATAAAATGAATGAATTTTTAAGTTTCTTGTCCAAAATGTTTCTGAAAATTAATCTTGAAAAGAAATACGTCGACCGTAGCCAAAGAATCCCATCGAGATCAAGAACTCCTCAATCATCTTGGTTAAATTGATTTTTTTTTAATCAAGCGGTGTAATCCCTAAATTCCTGGCTATATTTCTTTCTCTCATTTTATTTTTTCTTACGTCTATCTTATTTATACACAGAGCGGCCACCATCTATCGTGATAACCCACAAAGATGCGATATCGGATGAAGAAGTCAAAAAAATGATCGTGTTCCTAGAAAGCGAGCAAATCGACCAGGAAAAAATATTCGTCGTTAAGAACGTCACATCGAAGGATGAAAGTCTCGATGATAACACAAGGTCATGTATTTGTGATTTCATCGGAAGTTGTCGGGATGATGGTCAAGCCGGTGCTTCAGCTCACAGAAGAAGGGAGAATGTGGAGGAGAAACGGGAGAAGAAAAAAGCTCTCGTGGAGCAAAAAGAGATTGCAAGGATCCAACAAGAGCTACAAAAGACGAAGATAACTGAAGCTAAAGCGCGATTAGAAAGTGAAACAGAAACTAAGAAGGAAATGGATAGCATGAAAGAAGCGGCTTTAAAAAGAGAAATAGAGAGTGCTGAAAGATTGCAAGATATGTCAGAAGCAAACCGCAAAAAAATGAATGACCTTAGCCTAAAGAATCAATCAGATTTTTACGAGCACCAAAAAATTCTCTTGAAGGAATTATATGAAGGTCGATTAAGAAAATATTAAATATCTCAAGAAAACGAAATCCTGAAAAAACAATCTCCTTATTTCCTAAAGAAAAAGCTCGTGGATGAGCTGTTTGGGTTTTGCAGTATAATATTAATAATAATAATAATAATAATAATAATAATAATAATAATAATAATGTAAACTTATAAAGCGCACTTATCCATTCTAAAAGACTCCTCAAGGCGCTCTTGTACAACATCAAAATATTTATACAATATTAAAACTACGACATAAACAAATGTGACCCGGCACCACAAAACCAACAAAAAGTCGCAACCAGCGATTCTCCGTAATCAGCTAAAATGTCAATTTAGGTGAAAAAAATAGATTTTTGTTTTCTTGCATTTTCTGAAAGAGTGGTCTTTTCTGTACCTAGTATCAAAATTTGGAAGTCTAAAACATAGTAGAAGATGTGTTTTAAACGGTTTTTCTAGACCACTTTTTTTCGCACAGCCTTCGGTCTCTTCCAAAATTTGATCACTTTTCCCGAGCGAAATTATCGTAGTCCGAAAATGGTCAGTCGTTGCTAACGGGTCGCGAATATTTTTTTTACACGCTAGTCTGGCCAGTTTCGCCGTAATACTCGTAAAAGTGCGCTGGAGATAAAGCCTACATGTAGGCATGCACTAGGCCTACCGTAGTTTAACTTGATTGCTCTCTAGCTGAACGTTCGGTCGTTCGTGTCTCAAGCTTAGATCAAGATTAATGTAAAGTTCCTAAATTAAATTAAAATAGATTAAGTTTTTGAATTCCATCGCCCAATGGCTGCGATGGCCGTCTCATTTAAAAGGGCCAGCTATGTCTTTATCTGATGATTGTCATGCACGATGTACATGTTTATCATCATGCTCCTCGCATGTAGGCTGCTAGACTAATATTAGTCGTTTCAATGGTGTTTATCATAGAAATGGCCAGGCTAGCGTGTAAAAAAAAATTGCGCTAACGGGTCGTGCTACGCGGGCTGTGATTGGTCCGTTATAGCAATCAGTGCGGCGCGCCATTTTGTTTGTATCCGCTTTCACATCCGAGTTCCAGATTTGCGTTCGTCTTATATTCTCCGTTAACGACTTCGAGTCGCTTGAGTTGTTGCATTTTCAAACTTGTGATAAAGGATGAGAAAGAGTTGTTGCATTTTAAACTTGTGATACACGATGAGAAAGAGTTGTTGCATTTTTAAACTTGTGATAAAGGATGAGAAAGAGTTGTTGCATTTTAAACTTGTGATACAGGATGAGAAAGAGTTGTTGCATTTTCAAACTTGTGATAAAGGATGAGAAAGAGTTGTTGCATTTTCAAACTTGTGATAAAGGATGAGAAAGAGTTGTTGCATTTTTAAACTTGTGATAAAGGATGAGTAAGAGTTGTTGCATTTTAAACTTGTGATACAGGATGAGAAAGAGTTGTTGTATTTTCAAACTTGTGATAAAGGATGAGAGAGAGTTGTTGAATTTTTAAACTTGTGATACAGGATGAGAAAGAGTTGTGACATTCCCTAAATAATTTTGTTTTCATTTCTGTGCTTCCAAATTTATTCTCCCATAAGAGTTTTGAAATCAAGTTCTTATTGTAAACACACATTCACACTCTTGATATCATCATTTTGCTTACAGCTATCATAATTCTCCCCCTTCTTTTCCCTCTCTGTCTCTCTCTCTCATTCTTTCTATTTTTCGTTATTCTATGTTGGTGTCTTTACTGTGTGTCTCCTGCCTTTCTTTATTTTTATACCACTTTCTGGCTGGTATTTATGAATTGCTTCCATTAATTATCATCAGGATGGCTACTGGAAATGAAAGAGCAAGTCATAGTAAAAATACTTTGAACCTCCTGTGAGAAAGAAAACAGTATGGGAATTAAGTATAAAGCAAGTTCATAATGTGGTTACAAATAATTGCCCAGATGTATACAAAACAAGATAGGTGACAAGCAGTGTTATGTAAGGGGGAACAAAAAGACTCCGGGTCCACCATGAATAGGCATTGTCTAGTGCAGGTGTCTCGGCACTATGTTGCAGTTCACTTAATCTGTCCAATTACAACTCTATACATTTACAACATAATAACTTTTGAAAGACTTAAGTCCACACATTGAAACCTCAGAAACATAATGAACAGACTATGTTTGACCATCAGGCCAAATTTCAGCCTAATCTGAAAATCTCTTCATAGTGGTTGCTATGGCCTATTTGATTCACCCTTCTATTGATTTCCCTGTGGTTTGCTTGCTCCGCATGCTTGAATAGCCCAAAACTTTAAAGCTCTCTTTCTCACAATTTGATACCAGTAACCTCCCTCACCAGCTCTTTTCATTCACTAAATTGAAAGGGTTAGGAAGCTTCAATTTGGACAAGTAATATACCATTTTAATGAGGAGAACTTCTTCTTTCATAATCAGATGAAATCAGGAAAATAATTTTTGCGACTTTTTGTTGGTTTTGTGGTGCCGGGTCACAAATGGTGCTTCAGTTTCTTCTTAAATATTTCAATTAATGATGATTGTCTTATTTTTAATGGTCAAGTGTTCCATAATTTGGGTGGAACGCTAGTAAAAGCCCTGTCCCTCATTTGTTATTGGTTTTGGGTGTACATATTAAACTAGAGCTGTGAACCTGAACGTAAATTCCGTTGTGGGGTGTACGGTTTCAAAATCTGATACAAGTAATGGGGTGAAGAATGAAGAAGTGTTTTGTAAGTAATGAGCCACAGCTTATATACAAACAACATTTGAAATCTGAGATTTCATGGTCATTCCAGCATCAAACAAAACTCAAAGTATCACTCTATTTCAATTCATTAAATAAAAAAATGAAAGTGACCCCACTGATTTTCATAATTTTGGTTCTATGCATGATTATAGTGCAGATATTTCACTCATGGAGGACGATAAGAGTTATTAGGAGTGTCAAAAGATGCATAAATGTAAAGCGTATTGTACTTTCTGTAATCATTTAATAAAAAACAAAACAGTTTCACGCTTTATTATCTGAACGTGGCTTTAATGTAAACTTACTGGACACTGTAAAATTCAGAGATTTTAAGACCGTTTTTATTTCATTTGCTTGATGTTCTATCTTACACTGCATAACCATGTATACTTCTATGTCTAATGAATTTTATCTTCAACTGATAGCTAATATAAGCAGTGATCTCATCTTCGCAAATCACGTTACATTTCTTTATTTATTTGTTTTCTATGTTAAGGTTCCCTAGCAAACCGCGTATCTATGTTAACAGTTTACATTTTTTACTTCCGTTCAACTCCAACTATTCACATACTAGAAGAAGAAAAACATTTATCTCTTCCAAATATGAAGCGGTACACCGCGGTTTTGTTGTATAATGTGTAATGATTCGCGATATAGGTCCTACACGTACATGACGAATTCACGGAGCTCTGTGTTTTATAAGTAACATAAATGTTGTAACTTCAAATGGAAAAAGATTTAGTTTAAATTTTGTAACAGGTGTATTCCACTAAATAGGTGGGTAATATTCGTATTACATGTCCATGTAATCCATATTATTATGGAAATAACATGGAACTAAATAAGAATTATAATACATGTAACTGGCAAGTCTGTTGGGAAGATCGTGGCATGCTGTTTAATGTATAGAATGTGCTATATTGTAAACGGTTGATGAATGCAAATTATTCCTTTACCTAAATTTGTTGAAACAAGCTATGTATTGTTAATCAGTTATTGCATGCTTTGCTTATACCGTAGGAAATTATAGAGCTAGGGTATAATCATATTTGTTAATATTGATGTATAGAATGTGCTATATTGTAAACGTTTGATGAATGCGAATCATTCCTTTACCCAAATTTGTTGAAACAAGCTATGTATTGTTAATCCGTTATTGCATGCTTTGCTTATACCGTAGGAAATTATAGAGCTAGGGTATAATCATGTTTGTGATGAAAATGAGCAAAGGTAAAATGTTATGATAGACATAAGAGTAACAAAACATATAGTAAATATTGCACCCTGTAGATAATCTCTGTACAGTGCGTATACAGATATACACACTTTGAAAATATGATCCCAAATCATAATTTTATTAAGTTTGCATGATCTGATTTTTTATAACACAATAAGGTGGGGCTCTTTTAAATTGTATGATACTAACATTATTTTACACTTGAATCAGCAATGGATTTTAAGATTGTTTTTTTTTTATTTATTTATTCTTCCATAATACTTCCATGTAGAATAAATAATATATACATAAATCCGAATTCTTGCTTGGTGTATTGTGTTTTATAGTCGTTAGGTTAAAGTTTCTTTAACAATTGTATAAGAATTTGCCACTATATGATTATGATTATGAGTATGATTATAATATGTTGAAGGTTCAGTGTCCTAATACTTCAATTACAAAAAAAAAGGGGGGGGTTACTTACTTTTAAAGTTATTATGGATATCCTTCTTGCAATTTGAATTTCCAATGAACAAAATATATATATTTCTTTTAAACATAATGAAAGCAGATAGAGTCTTAGTGAAAAGATCAATAAGCGAGTAATAGTGGAAGAGAGAACTAGGCGTTGTGGCGTGCGCCTAAAATCCAGCTAACAGTGGAAGTTACAAACTGATTCAGCCGAGGACGCAGGTTCGAAACTGAGTCACGTCTTTCTGATGGTGAGGTTTAAAGGTCGGTCCTCGGACGTAAACAAAAATCATATTTGATTGACACACGTTTGTAAAAACACAATATACACACAGAATGCGAGGGAAGCGGAACATGGAAATGAATGGAGAGAAAATAAAATAAAAGGAGACTAGACAGAACTATAACAGAAGAAACAAATGAGAGAAGAACAAGAAGAGAAATAAAGAGATAAAGAACTAGATGAAAAATCAAACGCTATGAGTCATGTGTCATGATGTAAGTTACATACACGCCGTTACTTTGACTAAACATTCCTTTAGTTAATGTTAAAGGAAAAAAGCAAAAGCGCCAGAAACCAAAACGCTTTATTATATGGGTACATGCCCTAATTGAACAGAACATTAGTTTTTTACACATTACTGTGTCCAACATCTGAGTGACGTCAACCCGAAAATAATTGCAAAAGAATTCATTTCACTACAGTGCACTACATCATATTTTTTTTCATAATTTACAACCATTAAACAACCCAATTGTATCAATTCAAGTGATAGTTAATGTTGTCCATGTCAATATGATGAATTCATTTTTATATTGCTGCAACAAGTAAATATAATATAA